GTTTTTCACTAAACTTTATCAGGATAACACTCCAGTTTCATCCGATTCATTGAGATCATTTCTCAGTGAGGTTCACCTTCCATCCCTGTCATTGGATCATTCCATGATTATGGAAGCACCCATCTAGGCACTGGAAATGAAACAAGCTATCAAGCAGGCAAAATTGTCATCGGCTCCGGATGGATTGCCTGCCTTATACTATAAGAAGTTTTCGGATGTCTTGGTGCCTCACTTGGGAGAGATTCTTTAATGAAGTGAGACAGGGAGTCCCTTACACACAGATTTAAATAGGGCCTATCTTATAGTTCTTCCTAAACCCAACAAGGACTTGGGGGAAATCTCCAACTATAGACCGATCTCCTTGATAAACAATGATTTAAAACTCCTAACTAAAATTCTTGCTAATCGATTGAGCTCCTTCCTACCATCCTATATTCATAAGGATCAAGTGGGCTTCATTAGGGGTAGGCAAGGCCCCGATCAAATTAGAAGGGCCATTGATATCACCTTGTTGCAGTCAGGGTGGGATGGAGGGCAATCACAATCTGGGCTTCTGTTGTCTATAGACTTACAAAAAGCCTTTGATTCAGTGTCTTGGCAATACCTTTTCCAGCTGCTTGAAAAATGGGGCTTCGGCCCCCTCTTTCTGAATACGTTGCGGGCCTTACACCTCTCCTTTAGCAAAAATTAGGCTACAGGGCCACATCTCTGACTCCATAGCTATCTCTAAAGGCACGTCAAGGTTGTCCACTTTCCCCACTGCTTTTTGCATTAGCGATAGAACCCCTAGCGATTGCGATCCGTGCTAATGTTAATATTAAGGGAGTGGGTTGTGGTAGGCAGGAGCATAAGTGTGCTTTATTTGCGGATTACTTGCTCCTGTTTGTCACTTCACCCTTGACCACACTTCCTAATGTCCTGTCATTGTTGACTCAATTTGCTGGGGTATCTGGATTGCGGGTCAATGCATCCAAATCATTGGCTCTTAATATCAATATCCCCCAGGAATTGTGGTCTCGGTTGTTGGAACATTTTGATTTTACTTGGTCCACGGAGGCTTTGCAATATCTAGGGATTAAACTTACACCTGTCTTTTTACAACTATATAAGAAAAACTATATACCTCTGTTTCACCAACTCCGGGAGGATATGTCTCGATGGGACTCCTGTATTTTGTCATGGCTGGGTCGCATTCATGCACTCAAAAGGACGCTGCTCCTCAAGATCCTATATTACTTTCGGGGCCTACCCATAGCTATACATAAGCCAGATCTTTTGAAATTCCAATCTTTAATTATTAAATTTGTTTGGCATGGAAAACATCCTAGACTTTCGAAAAATGTACTGCACCGTTCTAAACGGACAGGGGGTTTGGGTGTCCCCAATCTCTTGCAATACTACAAGGCAGCGCGGGTGGCTCAGCTTTCCTCTGTGTATGACCAGGGATATACACCAGATTGGATCCTAATGGAATCTCTCTCTGCCTCGG